CATATGCACAATTAACTCAATTGGAATGGCATAGAAAACAAAATAGTGCCAACATGATAGGTTGTAAACCTCAACTCGTGTGCTAGTGATGATCGATAAGGTTTATTTGATTTGTTCTTGAACCTTTTCAAGACCATTAAGACTTCCACTGACTCCTTGACATATAAGATTCTCTTGTCAATAAACATTTCTTGACAACCAAATATTCAAGAGTTAGTGTAGTTTTTATCATAACACTTCATAAAATGGTCCTAGTTGGTCACAACTTTCCACTTTTTATGAATGTTAAAAACCTTCTTAATACTTGTCACTTATTGCCACAATCTTAACTTTAGGACTTGTTATTGGAACGAAGTATGATTGACTTTTTGATTTAACCATTTCTTCAATTCTTGATTCCTCTTCTTAGACATACAATACTAAGACTCACTAAGAGGATCAATTGAGATATGGTTCTTAATCATTAAGACCTATCATAAAGCATAAAAGGTACTCTCCCTTCTTCTTAGAATGGAGAAACTTTTATCTTTCTGCCTACTTGATTCTTCTTATTCGTTTTGCTATTGATTTAAACCTTTTTAATCAATTCCAAATTACACTTAATCTTATAAGTATAATCATATTTACTAAACCTTTAGTAAACCATGACGAATATCTTGTTACTCTTATGGTGGACTTTGACCAACACACGACTTTGTGTACTCGATCTCCTAGTCCTTCACATGACACTTTGTCAATGAATTAGTCTAATTTCCAAATATGAAATTTCTCATTCTTCGTGCAACCAAGTTGCATGATTCCAAATTTCTGTCCAATCGAAATTTGGGCAATGAGAAGCTCTCCCTATTTGGTAAATTCTCGACTTTTCCATAAACACCATAAATAAGAATCATATCCATTTCTTGTAGAAATATGCAAACACCAATTTTCATAACGATTTCATTGCAAGGAAATAAACAAATAAATAAATAAGTCAAACGAAAATTTATTTTATTTATAAAAGCAGCGGAAAACATTTGTCCTTACAATGCAAAATCTATTGAAAACTACGTATTTCAAAAGGAAAATTTCTAACAACTCTATCATAACTATCTAAGCTCAAAATCTAATCTTCAAGTCCATGCGATCAAGATCCATTCCTTGTGATTAGATTCATCTTGCTCTTTCACCAAGCTTCCTTTCTTTTCACCGATCCTGAAAAACATTCAAATGCAATCTTATCACACCATGTATTAAGAATCAATGAATAGGAACTTAACGGAATTAGATAGTGGATTTTACCTGAAGTGCATCCATACTCTGTGACTCTCCCATCTTCTGGACTCTTCAGGTTCTTTGGGCAGAATTGTATCCAACGCCCTTTCTCTTAACAGCAAACGCAGGTCGCTTCTCTTAGAACGTCATCGGAAGCATGGTCGGTTGACTCTCCCAACAAATACTCTCCATTGCTTCGCCAAATCATTTCTGATTCAGCAGCAATGAGCATGTAAGTTAGGTCAATGAGGTTGTCGTCATGATCCATCATATAATACTTTCTTTTGAACTCATTATATGATTCAGGGAGTGACTGCAGAACCCAGTTCACAGCCAACTCATCCGGAAATGACACACCCAACATAATCAACCTATCGATGTGTGATTTCATTCCTAGAATGTGGGCACACACGAATTTACCATCTTCATGTTTCATTTCCAATAGGGCCTTAGTGATATTGAACCTTTCAATTCTTCGATCTTGTGGGTTAGGGAGAACAACTGGAGGAGGTGGAGGAAGTGAAGCATCATTTCTTGTTCCTCGATCGAATCGTGGAATACCATCTTCATGTGGAATGCTTGTTCCATGGGATTTGGGAAGACCATAGTTGTCGAACTTTGACATCTACAACACGGGAGAAAACGAATTCAAGCTAGTTGATTGATTGAGTCCTTAGTAAATCACCCAAATGAGATACTAAGGCTAGGACCCAACACAATATTCTACAACTCAGGAGAGGGATGCTGTAACCCAAATTGCAGAACATTTGAAGGTAAGTGAATGACGATTCACTAATTTCCACCATGAAAAAACGAAAAAGAAATTTAAGTTTTAAATCTATGAAAACTCCTAGATCCTTTGAGATTCATTGAACATTTCAATGGCATGTTTAAATCTCGATATGCCCCTCTTGTTTGTGACTGGGATGCCGAGGATCACAAAGCGGGTGTGAATAACCATGCAAATTTACATGGTGCCCGCAGATGTTACAGTCACCTATTTGATGTGCCGGTAAACCACACACGCTCCACCGAACTATGACAAACATTAAGTCACCCTTTGCTACCTTTGCTTAGAACCATTTAGTGTGCCGGTAAACCACACACGCTCTACTAACGTCTTCGCAAGGGCACAAAGTGTAATTTCATGGAATTGTATCAATTCACTTTGCCTAAGTAACTAAGATTAGGAATTTGAAAAACATTTAGTTACTTTTGTACTTCATCATACTTATAATGGAAGGTTTCGTCGTATCCTACCCGTTCGGCTAACGACCCTCCACTAGTCAAGAGTGCGGTGGGTAAGAGTGGATACCCATTCAATCGTCATTTTATATGCAATTTCCTTAAACACCCCTTATAGACCAGCTTCGTGAATGAGGCCTACTAACGGTAAGACTGACTTTTACTCATACATATATAATGTTAGACTTTTAATGTTATATATAGTATAGGTTGTATTTTACACTTAGAAAATACTAGGTGGTCAAATTTAATAATTATACCTTTAATTTAATTAAATTGTAAACCAAAACTAATATGGATTTATTAAACCTCTTTTAATTATACTCCTTAATTAATTAATAAAACTATAAGGGTGTGATTTGAACTTTTTCAAAACAATACTAGGGTCTTAGAATTTAACATTCCTAATTAAACTTTTAATCAACTTTTAAATTCCAAAACTTGAGGGCAAGTTTTGAAACATTTCAAAACATTAGGGTTTAGAATTTAAATATACATCAAAATTAAACTATTAATCAAAATTTAAATTCCAAAACTTGAGGGCAAGTTTTGAAACCTTTTTCAAAACATTAGGGTTTCAACTATTTAAATTTTAAACAACAAAACTTTTGGGTTCAAATTTAAACTATAAAGCCTAAAGGGGAAAATATGAAACTTTTCATAACAACAAAGATCAAATAACAAATAATCTTAATTAACATTTAATCACATAATTATCCATATTTGATTTATTTAATGATTTCTTGCAAAACAATTTACCAATTTAATCAAAATAATTAATTAATTATCACATAAGGAAACAAATATTTTATTAATTGATAAATATCTTCAATTAGATCAAGAATATACTCAAATATATCAAAAAAACGGATTTATATTGATCTAATATGATAAGGCAAGTATCCTCATGCAAAAACAGCAAGAAATCCGGTTTTTCCCTCTTTCTGACCGACTGACTCGTCGAGTCAGGCATGGACTCGTCGAGTTAGCATGGACTCGGTGAGTTCATCTATAGACTCGGCGAGTTCAGCACCCAGAATCCCAAAATTTCGATTTTTTAAGCTTGAACAAACAAACAAAGCATCAATACAATAGAAACCAATCAAGGCTCTGATACCACTGATGGGTTTTGGTCATAAGAACATCCTATGTGCTCATACAAACCCTAATGCTTGGATCTAGGTTTCTCTATTGTACATGCAATTTATCCAAGACTATAAACCCTAATTCTAGCATACAAGTAATCATATTAACATAAGAATGGGTTTAAGACATTACCTTGATTGTTATGTAGCAATAACAATCCAATTCCTCCTTGTATTAACTTTAGAAAGCTTAGAGTCACAAATGTCACTCCATTAATGGTTCACAAACACCAAGAGCAAGATGATGAAGAGGAGAGAGGATGGAGGTTGCCCAAAAACGTGTGAAACCCTAGAAGGATGCTTAGCCACGTTTTTGGATCATAAGGGATGTATATATAGTTAGGCTATTAGGGTTATCTAACAAGGAAACCCTAATTTGGATGCTTAAGCCCTAAGCAACCCATAGATTCCTTTCCTTAGGGCCTTGGACGATTTCCTCATGGGCTTTCCCATAGAATTCATCCACTTCTTAATATAAGGCAATCCATAACCCAAATTGCAATTATCTTATAATTACAATTCCAGTCCCTTAAGTTTAATTAATCTCTTTTAGTCACAAAACTAATTACCAATTAATTCTTGACTAATATTAATTTAAACAATATGATTTCTCCTTTAATATATTATTCTTATAATATATTAATAAATCATATTTAATCATTTCTCTCCATAATTCATCCTATCAAGTTGCTTTGGTGAAGGCAACCCAAAAGGACTATGCACCATCGGGTCAAGTACATACCAAAATAGTTATGGACTTAGACACTAATACAACAGTTCCTTAGTCTCTCCACTTGATAATTATGTCGACTTGTCCGTGTCATATGCTTTTGTTTGTACTTTCCAGCAAATCTCGAATACTTTTGTCCTTACAAGGATGCTAGAGACTGTGGTATCCCCTTTATGCCCTTGTGAACTTGTTTGTGAATGAGTTCTTATCACTCTACTTTTTCTATCTCAATGGCTTGGTGTGTTAACGTATTCTTTCATTCATTGTTGTTGGGCAAGTGGTTTGCGGAGTGTGACATGACTTCTTCTTTTGATTGATTATCTTAGCCTCTTTCAACTTGTATGATCCACTTGAGCCCCCAATTGCTGGTGACATGTCTTGTGTCTGTATGAGTGATCTTTTTGCTGCCTTTTGCGATTAGTTGTCCTAGGACTGCTAGATTTTTGTTGAAATCTTACTCTTCTTTTGTTTTATGCGGACATCATTGTAAGTCATCCGTGATTTCCTTGATAATCCTAGCATGCATGATTTTTTTTGTTTTAAACTTTTTGCACAGGTTCATAGCTTTTAACTTGTTCTTTCTCATGCATGCTCCATCTTCGATGTGGCATTCTATGTTCTTTTGTTTACATAAATGGCCAATTATGGTGATACCCGTATCGTGCTGACTTTACCTTGCTATTGGCTTGCTTATCATCTTTCTTGTTCCCAATTTGGTGTGGAATTTGATCATATGGTTCAGCGTTTTTTGGATAGTATAAGATCCCATTGACAGCGGTTACTAACAATATTGCAAAGTCTAAAGAAATCATTTTCATTAAACCGAAGCAACCAAAACCTTATACAATAACACGAATAAACAATTACGTCCAAATAAGAATTAAAAAAAAAACATATTATAAACCCAAAAATCTATGATCTAAGCTTTCCTTGAACTGATATTATTTTCCGATATAGACTCACCTATACTCAACATAAGCGGATAAACAGGACTAAACTCCTTCTCTCCTCTGGCCCTCACACCAACTGCATAATCATCCAAAGTCGCCTTAATCCCTTTCCAAATCTGATCCTCTCCCTGCGAATCCAACCACAACGAATACTGTAAAGCCGTAAGCTTATTCCGTTGCATCGGCGACTGCAACTCATCCGGGCCCCGCGAATACAAATGATGCAACACAACACTCGGTGGCAAATCCTGGATCACTGGTGACGACCCGAGTTGACTCGTTTCCAAAAAGATAACCGGGCGCAACGCCCGTAGGGCCCGATACGGTGCACCGAGTTGCTCAACCGGGTACAAGTTTTGACCCACGGATAGTTCCAACTCGGCCATGTCTCGTGCCATTCGGAGTTTCCCGGACTCGGACAGCGGTCGAACCAGGGACGCGTGTCGGATGAAGAAGATCAGGACTCGAGCCGCCATGGTTCGGACCAGACGCATGCAAATGGTTTCGGTTCCGATTCCGATTCCGGTTCCGGCTCCTTTGGCGGATGTGGGGAGGAGTCGGGAAAGGAATTCGGTGCGGAAATGGGTGATGTGCTTTTGGAGGTCTTCCATGTACGGTGATGAGTTGTTGTCCATGGCGGCATCGGCTCCGTGGGCCCCGAAGTTTTGGTTGTGGATTTGGAGGATGGTGGATTCGAGGCGGTCGAGCATGGATTGGAATAGGGAGGTGACGGAATCGCAGGCGACTTCGTAGATCGTGTTGAGGGAGGGGGAGAGGACGTCGGCGGCGATTGGCGGTGTTATGGCGGAGATGCTGATGTGGATGTCTTGTAGGTGTTGACAGAGTGTGAAGTTTTTTACTTGCGCAGGAGTCGCAGGCCCCGTTATCTGACGCGCTTCGGGTCCCGTTGCTATCTATAAAAAAAATTTTGGTTATGATCGGTTAATATATATATGTAGGAAAAGGGCAAAAACGTAATTTCACCTGGTACTCGGCTCGTTGAGCGAGTAAAAGGAGGACTTTGCTGATTTCACGGAGGACAAGAAGGGTCAAGCGTGCATCCATTTGAACAGCTTGAATTTCTTCTTGAATTCGTGAGATAATTCTTGAAATATGTTCTTTAGAGGGAATACTACCACGGTTTGACATAGGGAATACAGAGTTGACAAGATCTGATAGGCGACTCAAACAAAGGGTCAAGAAAGCTGTTTGAAACACTTCAATGGCAGACACCATTTGATCTCTACCTTCGAGTGTTATGGCAGGTAAAACCCCTTTGACATCTGTGTCTCGTGAAATTCTTTCTAGAAGATTTTCTATCATGGAGAACAGCTTTGGGTATCCAACTGTGAATATCTCTTTGACAAAACTTGATGCTGTGAAAGTGGATTTCATTTGGTTTGCGAATGATTTTACAATTGCCTCCCACACACGAGTGGTTAAGATAGAGTCGCCTTCCTACAAACAAATTTAATAGAAAAAGATATAAGCTTCATGCAGATGAAAAGACATGAATGCCCTCCACATCCTCTTCTACATAGAAAACATCCCTAGAAAGCTTGTTCAGTTTTGTATTGTGTAAAAAAGAAACATTCATATTGGATTAAGAACTGAATCAAAAAGTAAGAACTGGTGGTAGAGCTACATCCAAACACCCTGTTACTTAAAAGAGATTCATCAAAATGTATTGTATTAGTTGTGATCTAAGCTTCCTTGCCCTGTAAATCTTGAAGCATCATTGTTATATAACAGCAACAACACAGTTATCTAACTTAATGCTAAGGGTATATATAAGTATATAACCTACTCATCCAGATTCAACAAGGGGAACTCAAAGAATTATACTGAATTAACATAAACGAATTGAAAATGCGATTACAGTATCAACTCACCTGCATCACTTCATCAAGTAGCAAGGCATGAGTGAAGGGATCCCTTTTCTTTGATAACACCCTCTGCAAATGCCAAATGGCAACCACGACTGAATGCAAATGATCCATACAAACAGCCATCCTCTGCCATAATGCATCTTTGGCCTTACCTCCACCACCGAGCTGTGGTGTTCCGCTCCTTTGTATCCCTCCCGGACCACCAAAACCACCACCACCGGATGTAGATATCGTCTTCATATCCAAGGCAACACTCACACTCTTTACACCCTGAGTCTTATACTTGTTTATCAAAGTATCTACCGTTGTCCTCAACTCCCCTAGATTGTAGAACACCTGTAAGCCAGCACCAACCTCCGCCTGATTAAAACTTTCAAGACCCCTTTCAAGTACTTTCATTCCTTCAGAGCGCAACCTCTGGCCTGCTTCGTATATCCATTTCAGTTCCTCATCGACTGGGGCAATTCCAGATAGATCATTTTCATTGCAGAGGCGCAATATCTCACTGTGTAATTGAGCAGCTTTGGAGAGATCGAGTTTCTCGGCTTCGGGTTCCGCCATCACGTCGCGTAGCTTCTTGGAGAGACGGAGTACACGGACAGTGGACTGAAGGAGATCGACGGTGAAATGGAGGTTAGAGAGTTGAACCGTTTTAGATCGGATCTGACGGTTTGGATCGGCGATCTCGGAACGGACGAGGCGTACGGAGGATTGGAGAGTCGAGACGGCGGACCGAATGGAGGAGAGAGAGGATTCGGCATCCTTGACGGAAGAGAGCTGCGAGAGAAGATCGTTGTGACGAGACAGGACTTCGGAACGGAGCTGCTTCTCTAGGAGGCGGATGCCGTCTTGGATCTTCTCGGCACGAGCAGCGGCTGTGCCTGAAGAGAGTGCCTCAGAGGAGAACCGGGTTGAGTCGAAATCGGAGGAGAGGAATTTGGAGAAAATTGGGTCGGAGGCAAAGGAATCTAAGAGTGATGAGGAAGAGGATGGAGGGCTGGACGATGATGGGGTTCCGGAGGTGGTGGCAGTGGTTCTGTCTTTGAAGGTAGGGAGGCGCTGAATTGATGAGCGCTGGACCGCCGGCGATGCCATTCTTCCCCGATCGGATGCAGATATGGGTAATCCGCACCGGGAACAAATTTTATTAAGCAACCGAGAAACAATTATCCACCGATACGCGACAGTCAACTACCTCTCACTCCAATTAGAAAATAACCATCATAACCCATTTTTTTTTTGTAGTTTTTTTCTTTTTTTTACATTTTAGTTTTTACTACAAAACTAGGATTTTAGCCATAGTGCATTGTGGTAGGTATTCAAGAAGAAGTAGAAAGTAAGTTGTTATATTTTAAACACAAACTTAAGAAGACTTAAATTGACAAACCACAATAGTGAAAGGTCAAAGTCATGCCTAGCAAAACTATATTATATGCAAAACGTATATGAATACAAGTAAGATTCAAATAATTAAAAAACATATTATATGTGATCCGGATCATACGCAGAAAGCGTATATAAAAATAAGCACCAAAACGTAAAAAAAAATTACAAATAAACATAGACGAACTCGAATTTATACTGAAATACATAAAAAAAACAAAAAAACAAATAATTTTTTAAATTAACGAACTAAAGGTTCTAAATTTACATCGAAACATTGAGGGCAAATGTCATATTAGCCCATCAAACTTATCGTGTTTGTATTAAAAGATCACTAAACTATTTTTTTGCACATTAAAGGAATAAACTCTCATATGACCATTTAATTACATCCTTTTACGTTTTACCGATTATAAAAGGTATAACCTATATTTTCCTGACATGGACCTCCACCGTGGATTATTACTGTTGTAATCTTGGTCCCCAAGATTGTCTAGTCATCGTTAATGACCCCCCTTATAAATTAAAGGGATATCCTAAATCCGTCTTCCCACCCACTTCGTTACCCTAATCTGTAACCTTCACATAATACCATCGGGTTCACTTTTTCCCACTTATAAATCAAGATGGCATCAGAACAAAACTTCTCATATGGTGGTTTCAAAATTTCAGACCTAGACATACCAACTGATTAAGAGCTTCACGCCATGGAAACCCAAGTGCAGATTGAGGAAATGAGAGATGAAATGTGACAACAAGTTGGCGAGTTTAGGGAGGAAATATGCTACTTGAAAAGGATAATGACCATGATGGGTGTTGTTGGAGTTGCAGTGATGTCATTGATCGGGGTTCATGTTTGTGTCAAATGTTCTCGGTGGGGATTTTGGGGAGTGTAGTTAAGTTCGTAGGTAGCACGATGACGATTAACGTTTTTTTGGTTATTCTGGGTGTCGAAGGTTGTTTGTTTTTGTCTAAGTTCATCATCTGCTAGTATAATACTTATGTATTAGGGTATGTGACGTTGGTTATTTTGATCAATGGTGCTTGTTGACGATGTTAGGGTTTTTAGAACCATCTTTTTGGGGGGTTTTAGTAACACGATAACCTTAGTTGTAATGTATGGCCTCTTCGATGAATGAAATGAAATGTAGTTCCTATTAACTGTAGTGGTGTTGATTATGATGACATGTGCGGATTTAGAAAATATCTAGAGTATCATCATGTAAACTATGAACACCTGGAGTAAATAAATATTGTTAAACTCTCATTAAATCTAGAAAGAACATACAAATGGGTTTTGTAAAAATTCTCTCTCTAGTTTAACACTCCAAAATGATCATTAGATTAAATGAGTGTCACTCACTTCCTTATAAAGGAAAGACAACTTATTACACACATACAACAGAGTAAAGCACAAATACATTCATGCGTGACTTTGCACCCTAACATTCTCCCACTTAAAGTTAGGATTGGATGCCCGACTTTAATATCCAATGAGCTTGCGTTATCAAGACCAAAATCTCCCTCGAAGTAACACCGGTCTTCAACATCCGCAATGAATATCTGAAAAACCCGCTTCGAATACCCATCATTCTCCCCATTTTTATAATAAAAAAATGATTATAAAACCCATCAGGTGTGAGAAGCGCCTGAGGAATAAACTACACAATACTCCCCTTTGATGTGTACCAAAAATGGAACTCCCGAAAAACTTGCATGGAAAAACAATCACGAAAAAGCCTCAAAAAAATTTCTAATGTGTGAAAATTTTTGACTTTTTGGGTGAAAGTTGCAAGATTTTCCAAAATTCTGGTAAAAACTGTCACTTTTTGAATTTTGCAGGGACCCATCGCACCAAAAACAACTTAATATGCGAAACTCTAGCCCATTTGCAAAACTGGGCATAAAGCGTAAATCCGCACAAACTGTAGGGACTGGAAATGAATATTCTTCAAATTCTCAGCTTTGGAACACCATTTTCGAAATTGGGTATATGATCTGCCAAATATTCAAAACTTTAGGGACTACTTTCGAAATTTCTTCCACTTTTCTTCAAACTTTCGAAAATGAGGTCCTAATGTCAAATATGGTACAAACTGTCAAACTTTCGAAAGTTGCAGGGACCAATTCGAAAATTCTGCCTTATTTCTTCCAAGTCAAAAATTACTTCAAATGTAGAAGGTGGGTAAAAGGTATCACACTTTTGAAACTTGAGTGACAAATTTCGAAACTTGTTTTCTTTTCTTCGCCAATCAAAAAAATTTCGACCGTTGACTATCGATTTCAAAACCTTCAAAATTATCATCACAACCCAATTCGTTATCAGGCAATGGCTTTGAAATTAACAAACAAGGCTTCGTTACTTAACGATCAAGCCTTCGAGACATCGACCCTGTGAAATCAAATACTCGACCCCAAATCCAAAACATTCGATTTGTAGCCCAAATATCACCACAAACCTTCGAAATATCAATATAGAGATTTCGAAATCTGGTCAATCTTCCTAATCCATCACATTGGAAAACTCAACCTTCTGTTATCAACAACAACAAACAAACCTCAACATTTTGAATATTGACTCCAAAATCGATCCATCATTTATTTTCTACCAATTTGCTTCCTTCTCAATTGACTTCCATTGGGAAACATCACTTTCAAATTCACTGATGTCAACTCCAAATCAATTTTCAGTTGAATTCGACTATCAAATTGAACAACCTCGACATCTCTTCAACCCATCAGACCTTCAAAATCATAATTTCCCAAATCGATCTCAATACTCCAGTCCTCGCTTTTCACAATTAGTCATTAAACAACTCTTCATTAACAAACCTATACCTATCGATATCAAAGACTTCAATTCTCAATTTCAAGTTCACTTTGACTTTCTCATGTTGAGTTCGCTATCAACCATCATCATCAGCCCATTCGCATTGTATTAACAGACCCTCAGATAAAATTCTTGATTAAATCCCTCAAACAAAATCGAATCACAATATGCAGACCCAAATCAGTATTCAACTTCAATATACCACCACAAAAGCAACTTTTTTCCCAAGAAAACCATTCAAATTCCAAAAACTAGTTTCAATTTCAAGTTCAATTTATCAAGAACATTAATTTTGACTTCAAAAAGAAATTCAACTTAAACCAAATCAACAAAATTGATCCTCCAATTCTCAAATACTCAACCTTCGCTATCGCTTTTCACAATCGATCAAACCAACAACAACCATATGTAAGTTCTTCCCAAAAATTATAATTGAAATCCAATTTTGATTTTTAATCAACCCAAACGAAAATTGATTTCAGTTTCTTTCAATCGATTTAAAAATCAAAATCAAGTATGTTCAAATCAGAATCACAAAAATAGAGTAAATCGACTTAAAATCAATTCACAAAAAACGGATTTGAAAAAAATCAAAATCCAAACGAATTGATTTTAACAAGAATACGGAAGCAAAGAACATCGAGATTTTGATTAAGATACAAGACTTAAACAGTCTTTGAATTTGAGTCAGACTTAATCAGTTAAAAGAATAAGGAGTAAATGGATTAAATTCTTTTGGTCTTAATCAATACAATTGATGAACAGTAAAGAGAATTATTTGGACTCAAACAAATAACATGAACAGTAACAAATCATAAGAATTGGGCTTGAAAATTGGATCTATGAATAGTGAATTTCGAGTTATAAAAAATGATTTTTGAATTTGGATTTTGATCTAAAAATAATAATTGGATCAATCAATGGGGTTTGAAACGGATTTGATCCAATGAGACAAATCGATCAAAAATGAAAAACGTAAAATACGAATCGAAATCATGAAAGTTTTGGAATCCATTTGAGAATTTGAGATACCTTTTTGACGAATTGAGTTACATTTTCAATGAATGAATCAAATTTAGAAGATTTTGGTTCTTTTGTTGGAATGAGAAAATCTCTAATTTGAACATTGTACCACCCATTATGCGTGATGTACAACTCGTTCTTTGTGTTCTTCAACGATCCATGAACATCTTCAAAAGAACCACCAACACTTTTGGGTTTTGACTTCAAATTCAATGCAACCTTTGGAGATTGTTGCTTTGGAACCCAAATTTGTTTCATGGATTTTGGCTTCACAACATTTGATGATTTTTGTGAGTAAACTCGCTTGTTTTTCCGTTTAATCATCATCTTCTTTTTCTTTCTCATCTTTTTGCATCTTGAAGACTTGATTTTATGAAAAAACCCACTTTCTACACCTTCAACTTTTTGAGTTTGAATAAAATCTTTTGGAGTTTGATACTTGCGATTTTCTTGGATCACCGACTTCCGATAAGGAATCATTCCTTCAAACGATTCACAAGAACACAAAATATCATCTGTTTGAACTCCAATTGAGCAAAAAAAATTCATCTTCATGAGAATCAACTTGAATCTTCTTATCATGAACTTCAAGAACATCAAGAACATCCTTAACAAACTTAAGAGCATGAAAATCACTTGGGTTTTTAACAAGAGAAATGTATCTTTTATTAAACAGATCTCTTTCTTCTCCTTCTTTTCGGTTATCACTATGAACTAACATCATCATGGAAAGATCATACAAGCATTCAATCTTCGAAAGTGGTTGAAATACCAATCTTCCATGAACATCCTTCAAACCTCCATAAAAACCATAGAATCCCATGAAATCAACCCACTTAACAATAACCCATAAAATTGATATTTGTTGACCTTGTATTTCACACCTTCAATGATTACAACCCAAGAATCATACTCTAAATGGACCATGATCACAAAAGCTTGAATATTTATAGAGAGAGAAAGTGATTTTGAATGGGTTTTCTAGAGAGAGAAAGTAAAAATCACTTGAATTCTAGTGAAG